GATGCCAGCATTTTGATGTTTCTGTCCTTAGTGAAGATGGTAAAAGCGGAGGGTATCTTTTGCAGGCTGGCCCCTCTTATGAATTTTGAATTCGCTAAATGGCCAACACAGTTACCCCTGCATGTTTCCTGATTGTGAGATACACACACACACACACACATATATATATGTATACATACACACAGACACTTTGCAGCTCTATCCACAAACTACCAGGGATGGCCAAGAAGAAATTAAGCCCCAAGGGCAGAATTCTGGGATCTGTAGTCCAAAGTCAGAACTTGGCGTTCGGGGGCCGCCACATACTAACACCCACTGCAATTACAGTATTTAATTTAATTTTTTCATGACCCGAGGGGGGATTCGAACCCTGCTCCCCAGAGTCACAGTCCAGGACTCAAGCCACTAAGCCACGCTGGGCTCCAACGTTCCAAAGCACCTTCTCTGCCCAATTAAAAAGGGGGGGGCTCTTTCCTGGAGCCGGGTCACCCTTGGTGCCGAGACTCACGTTATCGAGGTCCTGCAAAGGCGGCGGCTGCCGCCTTCCCGCAGGCGCCACTCCCGCCATGACAGGCAAGCAGTGGTGCTGGTGGTAGTACTGCTTCCGGTCCTCCAGCTGGCCTACGCCTTCTTCTTCCTCCTCCCTTCAGGAGGAAATGCCCCTCCTTCTCCGACGTCTCCCTACGCAATGTCGCCGCAGCTCTCCCGCTTCCGCCCGAACCTCTGCCCTTAGCCCCGCCCCCTCTCTGCTATTGGAGGACTTTGGCTCTCAAAAATCCCGCCTCCATCGCTCAGCCCCGCCCCCTCCAGCTCCGCTCCAAGCAGAGAGGGAAGGGATGGCGGGCTTCTTTTCCTTGCTGATGGCTTCCTTTTGTGCAATGCTTGTTGTTGCTGTTGTTTCCATTTCCAATGAGCCTATCATGAAGTTTTCTTGGCAAGATTTGTTCAGAGGAGGTTTGCCAGTGCCTTTCCCCGAGGTTGAGAGAGTGTGACCAGACTTGGTCCTCCTTTTCCAGGACATGCCCTCCATTTCAACCTTCTGTCCAGGAGGAATTCTTAGATGTCCTCCATTTTGAGCATGACCAGGGTGTTGGTCCTCCTTTTCCAGGACATGCCCTCCATTCCAACCTTTTTTTCCTCTGTTTTGAGCACACAAAACTTAAATAAAGAAAACATACACACCACAATTTTTTAAAAGCCTCCATGTTAACATGTTAGTGAACCACCATTTCTTCTTGTTTGAGCCATAGTAGTCTCTAGCCACTGTTTAGGAATAATTTAATTAATTAGGTTTATTGGCAATGAATTTGTCTCATAATCCTCCTGCCTACAGCTCCCTGAAGTATTTTGCTTTGCATGGTGGTAAGAAATTAACTGTATGCACATTAAGGCTGTGTTTTGAGAAATACTGATTTTTATCAGATCTGTATCTGCTACTAGATGTAGCTACAAAACAAACAAACACACACAAAGGTAGCTACGGTATATTGAGAGCAAGATAAAAGATCCGTATTGGCACAATATGTGTACTAAGCCAATCGAAGGAGAGTAAATGTGTGAAAGTTTTTCAACTCTCAATTTTGTAATTTTTGCAGGATATTTGACAAGATATGTGGAAGGAGGAACTGAAAAAGAAAGGCCAGACTAGTGATGGTAGGCCAGTTTACCCAGACATTTACCCTTGTAATACTGTGGGGTTTTTTTTAAAAAAAAAATTGTGGTTAGTGAGTGATTTAAAATGCAATAAACATTCTTAAGTATAGTGCCCTAAAATCCATGTTTGGATGAGGATTCTTTAAAATGACATTTCACTTAAATTTAAATAAGGATTTACAGTTAAATCCATAGTTCAAATAAGGACAGGTGCCTTGTCCCTATGTATTTCTTAATCTCTGCATAGCATAAAACTCACTCCCTGCCAGTTTTTTCTCTGGATTTATAACCAGGAACATACATATTAATGTAGATTTTAAAGAAGTCAGAATCTTGCCAATTTATTATAGGATGCATCCTACAAGTTATTTGCTGTGCAATGCTCAGCATGTCTATTCAGAACCAAGTCCACTGAGTTCAATAAGGTTTACTCTTTTCACCGTCAAAACAGGCTCTGTTGGATTTAACTGGCTTGGAAAAAAATACTTTTTTTCATTTTTCATTTTTACTTTTGGTTTTAAAAGGAACTAATCAAGGAAGCACACGCTTCAATGATTATGTTCACCTGGAGCCAGACATGTCAATGAGGTGAACAAATTGTGGCCGTGCTGAAGGTGGCACAAAATACTCCTAACTTTCTTTTCTCTGGCAAAAAAAAGAGGATAAATTGCAATTGCAGAGAAGGATCCAGGAGTGGTGATTCACCTTTTTTTATGTTGGTTGCAAGCCTCTTCGCATTGTTTAACTTTAAAAATAATAATCAGAAATCAACTTCTGGCAATTTCCAGATTTTTTTTTTCATTTTTTAGCAGTCTGTGGTGCACAGACTGTATATATATTTGTCCAGACCCACCACCACCCCTGGTTTAGATATATAGCAGGTCCTGGGTATCTGCTGGGATTTGGTTCCAGGACGCCCCGTGGATACCAAAATCTGTGGATGCACGAATCCCATTAAATACAATGAAAGTATAATTGTGTCCCTTATATAATATGCCAAATTAAGGCTTGCTCTTTGGAATTTGTATCATTTTTAATATTTTCAAGCTGTGGATACCAAGTAGTCAATTGCTTATAGCTGAAAAACTGTATTTTAAAATGACTGCCTATGATTGCTATTCGGGGTCAGTGTAGATAATCAACTGGGACTCCAGATGAGACTTTGAAAATTTTTCTGTGTGTCCGGTTGCTTCCTTTTAGCTAAGCACAGGCGATGTCCTGTACTGCAGTCAAGGTTCACTCTGGGGGTTGCAGACTGCCAGAAATAGTGCAAATTGAGTCCACTTTTAGGGTTAGGGTTAGTGCTAGGGAATCATGGGAATTGGTGTTTTTTCCTGAGACGTTGAGCCTTCTCTGTCAGAGAGCTCTGGTGCCACAATAAAATACAGTTCCCATGATTCCCTAGCACTAACCCTAACCCTAAAAGTGGACTCAATTTGCACTATTTCTGGCAGTCTGCAACCCCCTTCCGACAAGACCTCCCATTCTGTAAGCATCCTCTCTGTTCTGTAAACATTTTCCTGTACTGAAAACAATCTTTGCCCAAGTAAGAAGTGCTGAATATTGTGAAACCAGTTACCCAAGGAGAGAGGGGGGAGAAATGCTCTTTGTGTATGTGTGACCCTATAAAAAGATGTTCAGTTGCACCGTTCAGGGCTCAGCACCTTTGGAAAGTTATTTCCTGCTCAGCCCACTAGCGTTACTTTGTTATCTTTTTAATAAAACAGCTCACTTTCCTTACTTTGGAGGTCTCTATTCGCATTTTTCTGCTACAGATAGTTGAATCCTTGCTTAAAGCATCCATGGATAAGAAGGTCCAACTGTATTATCTGTAGCAAAGGCACTAGGATTTGATGATCAGGAGATGGCACTATGCTGTGCATAAACAATTGCACGTACTGTATTGGAAATGTGTAGTTAATTATAGGTGTTAAATACAAACCTGCTCATGCTCTTATTTTGTACACTATGTTGTAAAATATATATATATATATATATAGAGAGAGAGAGAGAGAGAGAGAGAGAGAGAGAGAGCACTGATTTTTATGTACTATAAAAAGACATCGAAATAGGTTCTCCTCTTGTATTGGGGTTTCAATTTGTGATAGAATATTTTAAATTTTTAAATTAACTTGGGTCTTTATCACACGGGGGAAATCCCGTGCAGAAACAGGGTTTTAAATCGGAGGAAAAAAGGATTGATTTTCACACGACGTTGATTTTTCACTCGGCTCAGTCATTATTCAGAATGGGGACTTCAAGTCAAGAAATCAGAAGAAGACTAGGACTTGGAAAGGCAGCTATGAAAGAACTAGACAAGAGCCATAAGTGTCAAGATACATCATTGAATACTAAAGTTAGGACTGTCTGTGCTATATTGTATTTCCCATTTCTATGTAGGATTGTGAAAGCTGGACAGTGAAGAAAGCTGATAGGAAGAAAATCAACTCATTTGAAATGTAGCGCTGGAGAAGAGTTCTGTGGATACTGTAGACTGCTAAAAAGACAAATATATGGGTTCTAGAGCAAATCAAGCCTGAACTTTCCCTAGAAGCCAAGCGGACTAAGCTAAGACTGTTGTACTTTGTTGTCAGCAGACACAACAAAAGAGAATAATGCTTGGTAAGGTGGAAGGCAGTAGGAAAAGAGGAAGATCA